TAAAAGATTCGCGCCACCTTTTCATCCAATCAGAAGTAAAACCAAAGCCAATTGTGACGCGCTCGCATGCATTTTCCCGCGCTTTGCGTCAGCCACATGTAATTACTTCGAGTTTTGATTGGTTCAATGTATTGTCTGTGTCCTATGTGATTGGCCAGAGTAATTACTTTGGTTTTGGTTTTACGACACTCAAACGAAAACCACTCTAATCAAACATAAAACTCAAATACTGGTGGTTAAATAACAGGGATCATAAGCAACAACCCGGATGGCGACGGCTAGGAAAACGTCACTTAAAAAGTGAAGTCGCGCTGCTTCAAACTTTATCGCGCTTATTCCATTTCGTTCAGTTCGTCAAATCTTGGCAATTTTTTCTGGAGTTGACAGTATCGAAGTTCAGGAAAAGAAAAAAGAAAGTCGTCTTGTGTTCATGTCCTCCATAAAACGTGAAATTTTGCATTTTCACGTTTTAGTCATGCAGTGACGGCAAAGAAATGTACAAAAAAGCGTGATGCACGTGCAGATTTCTAAACTTATGGTGATGTTACACGGAACGATTCGCGACGACGATTTTTAGCGCAACACAGCGTTGCAATGCTGGACCAATGTTGTAACCATTCGAAACAATGTCGCAACAATGTTGCAACGCTGTGTTGCGCTAAAAATCGTCGTTGCGAATCGTCCCGTGAAACATCACCTTTACAGTCAAACTCCGTTGATACGGACACCAAGGGCCCGTATTAAGCGGGCTGAATCTGGAGAAAATGTAAGGACGACTTTCTTTGCTCAGGGACAAGGCAAATTGTCCGTAATAGTGGTGTCCCTGCCTCGTACCCAGACGTCCCTCTCGCGCGTGCAAAGGAAGGCGGGAAGGAGACATCGGGCTTCGCCTGCCGTCTGTACCCTTCCCATGGTCCCTTGCGGCTCATCACCAGTCGCTCGCCTCTACCTTGCGAAAAACGAAGCGCCTGAGGAGGAAGCTAGTGGTGTCCGTAAAGCAGGGTTTGATTGTATTGCTTTTTTTTGCCATTCTCGTTGGCGTCGCCATCGTCGTTGCCTAAGCTCCCTGATATCTAAGAGAGGAATTATGCTAATCTTAGATAGAGGCCTCATGTTTTAAAAAAGCATAGTATCACGTTACTTTGCTTTTGCCAACTTCATTTTCCACATGGAAGTCTAGGATGGTTTACGGATTATCTTTGCTACGCGAATTGTACGAGTAAAGTAATTCTACATACTATGAATAAATTTTCAGTCAAACTAAGCTTAACTTACATCGTCAATACCATGGTTATAATTACGACAATCATATACCGAAGTTGGGGTACCTGTGCTCTTACCCCTAGGCCGCGCCACCTTCGAAATAGCCTGGGTGGAAGGCGCAAAAAAGGGAGGGGAAGGGGGGGGGGAAATTCTAAAAGGGAAATGGGAAAAGGAGTGCTTTTCCCGCTCCTCTCTTTTTCCCTTTCTCCCTACCTTTTTCAATGCCTGCATTGCGGGTAACCTCATTAAGCTGCATCCTAAACTAGATTAATGGATAGAGACCTATACTGTTTTTATTGAAGTCCAATAGTTTGCTTTTCAACCAATTTCCTGAACAAACCATCCGGATTGCCCATCAAATGAGCATAAGAACCAGCTTCGGCAATTTGTCCATCGTTTAAAACCACAATATTGTCAGCATTTTTGATGGTCGAGAGCCGATGAGCAATAGTGATGACCGTTCGACCCTTCATCAGTCTTTCAAGAGCTTCCTGAACAAGGTGCTCACTTTCGGCATCCAAAGCACTACAAGAAAATGAACATTGACTCAGCCTCGTTTAAAACTGAGCACATCACGCGCCGCACCTAACTAATGAATTACGTACGAAAGAGAAGCGCTGTTTGAATCAGCTTTGTTTGGCAGATTTTCCGTGGTGCGGATTGACTGAACAATTAAGTTCGGTAGCAAGGAACATCGCATTATCTGACCCTGAAGAGGCGGATATTCAAGAAGGGCTGTTCAAAAACGTAAAACTACGTATCTAATGCATGAATTTCAAATATCTTTTCCCATATCTCTGACTTACAATTTATTTCTTTGCTTTGACGTAAGTACGCCATTTGAGTCACTTGCCACCCAAAAGTTGAACGTGAAGGCTGCGACATTTGCACCGGGCCAAAATAAGCCTCTTGTCAGTTATAAACTCGAGAACATCGCAGTGAGGGCGCAGTTGCTGCTAGGCCCTGGCCCTGGCCGTTCAAAATCATACCGCCTTTAACTGCCTAAATCACTAGCTATAAGTTAGGTAAATCAGCTGTAACAAATCTACTTCTTAATAGCATGACCCAATTACCTTGTTGCTTCATCAAGGAGAAGGATGGATGGATTCTAAGGGGAAAAGAGATTGAGTTTAAAACATAAACATTTGCTAAACAAAATATGCTGTTCTAAATAATTACAGAAAGACAGTTTTTAGTGAACTTGTTTGATTACGCTCTGATATATCCAGGTACTCCACCCTCCCCTCCCTCCTTATGTTTTCTCGCCTTGTCTTTGCCCTGTACTCGAGAGCCTGCAAGTAACCTACATAAATTTCTTAATAGTGATGAACATCAATTTTTATACCTAACAATATTAATAAATTATCAAGAGAAGAGTTATGAGAATTGATCTTTACACAAATTCTCTCATCTAATTCTGTAAGCAAATGTACTGAGACCACTCTGGAGAATCTGTATGTCTATCAGGGTTTGAAAGATTACTGACATATGACCAGTAAATAAGAACAGCTTCACTAACCTTCAGAATTGCTCTTGCAATTGCAATTCGCTGTCTTTGACCTCCTGCAGGGAATAAAACACAAGCAAAAGTAGATTTAAATTCGTTACTTTAATTTCAAAGCAAGATTAATTATAGGACATAACGCGCAATTCTACCGTTTGCCAGTTTGAATGGAAAACCTTAACCTATGGTGTACGCTCTTTAGGCATTCGTTTACATACAACTGTAGTACTATTTATTTAGTATGTCATTGTGGTTTTCATTTTTGTTTGAATCCTATGGTCTGACCAATCACATAAAAACTCTTTCTTTAGAAGTACTTTTACATGACATTAGTTGTTGCTTTCCACCCCTGCCCCCTCCCCAACAACCAAAAATACCAGTCACCATAAGCATATTTTTAGAGAGTCCCCCTGACTCACCCCTCCCATTTTGCACAGTGTGTAAAGCTTGCCCTACCCTACCCCCATCACAATATTAACACCACCTCACTTCTTACTAAAAAAAACAAAACGTTGGGTTAGTGGAGGGGCATGACTGATTGATTTAATCACTTTGAGGTGAATTCAACCCTATTCTATGAATATAACCTGATAGCATTTGTCCTCTTTCTCCCACAACAGTGTCAAATCCTTTAGGGAAGCTCTTGATAAAGCTATAAGCATTGGCTTGTACAGCAGCGTCCTCAATATCATCCTGGCTGACTTGTTGACCTGTGGCTGCACCATATGCAATGTTATCCGCAACGGAAGATGAGAACAGAATTGGTTCCTTGAAGGAAAAGAAAAATTTTAAAACATTTTGATAAGTTTTCTCCTTGAAACGGTCTGAAAAGTAAACATATGAAAAATTTTTTTGTCCACTTTGGAAACCAAAGGAAAATAGACCATGTCCGAGTTCCAGTAACTCTCACTTTCAAAACTTTCAAGTGCAAAACCTTCCTTGTGAAAATGGGTTTCATTTGCATTAGAGTAAAAAATAATTTTCATATCGATTGCTCTATTTTCTCATCAGGGACCGTTGAGTGCGCGTAAGAATGTAAAGAAGCGGGGGATTTACTAACCGCTAGCTCAAGGGGGTAGGGGTTGAGGAAGAAGAAAATAGATATTTAGATAGTTTTTTTTCTCTCGTTCTGCGCTTGTTTTTGCCTGCTCACATCGCCTGCGCGCTCGCTGATTGTCAAATTGAAGGAGAAAACAATGTCTGTGTACAGCACTTAGCCTCCTCTGAAACTGAGGCAAATTGGAAATAGCCTATTCATTCACCTGATGAACTGTTCCCACAGCACCTCTCAGCCAATCAGGTGAGAGAGTTTTTACATCATGCCCTCCAACGATCACCTGACCCTGATCCGGGTCATACAGGCGAAGAAGTAATGATCCCAGTGTACTCTTCCCAGACCCACTCGGTCCAACCACTGCTGTGACCGATCCTGCAGGAACCTCCAAGTTGAGTCCATGGAAGATTGGCATGTCAGACCGAGATGGGTAAGAAAAATGGACGTTGTTAAACAGGATCCCCTTGTTTAAGTCATGAATGTCTGGTCGTAAGCCTCCTAAACACATGATAGGAATGCTGTTAGGCCACGTCAAATGTTAAACTTCACATGAAACGAATTTAATGCTAATGAGAAAGAACAATACAGCATCAGGTTCACCAGACTGTAAAGTTTGCTGCTCAAACTTGGCTTTGGTAACCTGCGTCACAGACGTAATTTAAGCCCGGTTAGTAACCAGAGATTAGTTTCATCTATGGTGCAGGCTAGGGCCTTGGTTATTAATCCAAGAGTACTCAGGACCACAAAACAATATTAAATTTTATTTGACAGGACTAATCCCCTAATAGATGAAGGAATAAAAATATAAATAAGGGGAAACATACAGGACTGTGCTGCTTAAAAGAATGGTGATTTTTAGCCTACGTACAGTTGCCCTCTTCTCTCTAGGCAGGGGCAGCTGTACACAGGCTTGTAGGTGATTTTAGTACATTTGATCTTGAAGACAATAAGCTGAAACGTCTAAGGTGTTATTCTTTAATACTAAGAAAGGATTATAGGTACATATCCCATCTTGTGCAAAAAAGTGAAGGATGTATAAAACAGAGAGAGAAGACAAAGGCTATAATTTTTTCGTTTAAAATAGTGAGCTTTTCCTGTTGAAAATGCTTCAAAACAGACTGATGTTCAGTAGGCAACTAAACTTGTTTGTTGTGAACTTGTGATTTATCATATATTTTACAACTAATTCTTTGGCTTAAATTTTCATTGTTTTCAAGTTTCAATGTAATTGGTCCAACTAGACAAAAAATAATAGATGAAGCTGCAGTGACACAGGCCCTTTAAAACAGGCAGAAGGTCAGAAGTTAGTTCACCTGACAGAGGAATGGTGGGAGTCCTGTCAATTAACTGCCACAGTCTACCACTTGCGCCAATCCCTTTCATGAGTTCTGAGTAAAAGGAGCTGAGGCCTGCAGGAAAGGGCAGATTATATACAGCGATATTAGTGAGGTGTTACGTCATATACTAACAGAACTTATTTACATCATTTTAGAAAAAATTTCACAGGAGTGAATAGGCTAAATACAATGGAACCCCAAATGACGAACATCTTTACAACATAAATTATTCCTAAGTATAACAAAGATATTCTTTGTCCCAGAAATAGTACAATATATAACAAATTATGCCAATCCTTTAGGCCTTGGTTGTAGAGGTTCCACTGAATGTAAAAGTTAAAACATTTAAACAAGGAAAAAAAAAAGCAGATAGACAGATATTATTATGAGCAAAATACTGCTGGAGAGGTCTCTTTGAGTGATCACATCTCAAACGTTTACCACGAACTGAACTGAATCACTGTTGGATTAATATGTAGCATACAATATTCCCATTTCCTCTCTTTTACATTTACTCTTTATCCTGAATACACAAAAGAGGAAATAATTGTAGTTTCACTGTATCATGCCCTTTTCCATTTATCTCATAATTATCATCACTAATATCAACTACTCTACTCAAAAGAAAACGGAGAAAAAAAATACAAAATGCAATATTAAAGAGGATATCCTCTATGTCTGAAAGCCAAAATAAAAAGAATCTAGGAGTCCAAGTCTAGTTCAAAACATTTAATGTCCTAGACTAATAGGAAACTCTTCAAAAGTTTTGTAATAATTATTTACCTCCAAAGGATATACCAACAAACCCGGCATAGAGTAGAAAAGATGTGAGATCACCAACAGTGATTTGTGCATCTGTCATCATCATTCCGCCGCTGTACAACACTGCCAGCATTATAACATTACCAGACAGTCCTGTCTAAAATCAAACAAAATGTCACACTTTTTCATCCACACCGAGCTATGTTTTTTGGGGGTAGTACCATATCAATTTTACATCAACCCTCTTTTCTCATGGGGGAGGGGGCGACTATCCTGTATAATCAGGATGGGCATGTTAATCAGAAAATTAGAAATCAATTAAACCCCCTTAGGGGACCAAATTGGGGATGGCCATGGCTGCTTGAACATCCTTTGATCCCCAGGACCATACTAACACTCCAGTGACAATAATTGGTTTTTATTGTATGGATATTTCCTTATGCACAACCCTAGGCAGGAGAAGAAGGGATGGACTGGCTAATCCTAAATAACCAACTTACAAATCCAAAGAATATTGCTCTTGCAACAGCCTCCTTCTTAGCAAGATTAAAAACATCAAGCACACTGTCTGCATACCTAAATCAAAAAAGTAATTAATGACATCAAATATAACATGCTTCTCTCCTCATTCTTTTCAATATTTTTGCCATGTATTTGTATTAGTAATAACAAAAAGGACTAACTTTAAATGAGATCACGCCAGTGACGTGGCACAAAGAAACTACAAGTTGTTCTTCACATTAATTAAATTGTGACAAAAAACTAATTACATCTTGATCTCTTTCAATTCTTGTCCAAATGCCCTTACAGTTCGTATGTTGCTGATTCTCTCCTCTGCAACCTACAAATTAACATAAGCATAAAATATTTTCAACAAACAATGAATTAATATTTATTTTATTTATTATTTGAAATACATCAGTTGGCTTTTCCAAATTTTGTACATGTTTGTGTTGTGGTTCAGTTGTTAAATATAATAGAAATCAAGGGCAAAATTGAACCACACCAAGATATTAGATTAATAAATTGCTGACCAAACAGGAGACTCTTTACCCCAACAACATACTGAATTACCAATTGCTTTGTTCTTCAATCAACATACAGCAACAAAAAAGCAGTGCAGTATTGTACAAGACCTTTGAATAACCAGAAGTTCAGAACTATCAAAGGGGATACACTGTGCATTGGAAAATCTGAACTTCAATTTACTCCACGAGCCACTTCCAAATTGTTGCTGTTGCCAGGGGTCAAATATACAATCATCTCATGTTGCCTGTCTTCCTGCGTTGGGGTCATATTACTATTAAAAATTAATTATTATTAATTATTATTATTATAATTCATTATTATTTTTCTGTATGATACTTGTTATTAATGTATAAAATGCAATTTAGTGCAAACTAGTACTTGTGTTGACTGTGCCAAAGAGTCCTGTGTTTTCTTGGTGATACTGCGAAGGTAGCGACCGTACATGACAATGGCTATTGCAACAGGAGGTACAATTCCAAGAACAATGCTAGCCAGCTTGGGGCAGACATAAAACTAAAAGTTGAAAAAAATATGCTCCCTTAATTCACCACTTTAGAAACGAGATGGGAGACTGGTCCAAATTAAGGTTTACAAAGACTTCTCGGACTGCTACTGGGGATGGGGAAAAACAATGGCCAACAGCTGACCAGCGTGTCCACAATAACAATCCCAAAAACAATTGTGGGGCACATTTTGGCTCTATTCCCTTTCTCGTTTCTAAAGCAGCGAATAAATTAACTCTTGTTATGTTACTATTAGGGACATGAAAATACTGCTGAAAAATAGACTTTGCATCCTTTCAAACTTTTTTTGTACCAAGTCCTTGTTACTTAAAGGGGAATTTAGGTTGGAGCTGAAGAGCAGGGACAATGCCTGATTTCACACAGAGATGATAGAATTTATTGCATTGCCATTCATGTTCTCAAGTTTAATTAAAATTTAAAATTTGGTCTTTTCCATCATTTGTTGAGCTGGGATAGCAAAGAAATTTACAAAAAAGTGTGATGCACATGCAGAGTTGTTATTTTGCTCTTTAAACCTGTTGATTTTTTGATGATCCCATTGCTGTCCCCATCATAGTTTTAGTAAGGACCCTAGTCCCATATACTTCTTTATGACTGCTGCCCTTCAGTTGATGCAAAATGACAAAAAAATCATGGCTTTGACCAAAGATTTACTGAACTCACCATCATGGATACTCCTGCCAGAGACTGCGCAACAGCTCTCAGTCCATCTGATACATTGTCTGTGACAGCCTTTCCCACCAAGATGGTGTCGGCTGACAAACGATTGATCAGCTCTCCTGTCCTTGTTCGATCAAAAAAGGCTGTTTCTTGTCTAAGTATGGAACTGAACAGTCTTTCACGCAGTCTCTTGATGATTTTTTGGCCTGGAGAAGTTTACAGAATTTTACATAAGGCAACCAACTATTTTATAGTCGACGTTGCAGCTGTTTTTAGGGTCACACGGCTGAAAAGGAGACTACAAACTATACTGACAAGGGTCAAAAGACTGACAGAGAAAAGACTTTGAGTTTCTTACCAGAAATTTGGATAAGGTACACTCTTCCAAAGTTAGCTGTTCCTCCCAAAAGGAAAACTCCACACAAGATTTTACAGACATATGTCAGTGTATCGACCATTTGTGCAGGATTTTGACTTGATGTATAAATGATGTCAATGATCTTTCCCATGCAAAATGGTACAGACATGGTAACAGCTGAGGAGATGAACAAAAGACCAATGGCTCCTAGCAAAAAAAAAAAAAGATGATCAATGGCATCAGTGATGGACCTTCTCAATCAAACTTCCCCCCACCTTTGTTCATAAACTCTGAGTAAGCAACCCTTTGAATCCCAAGAATGATCAAAATCAATCTTCTCCTAAAATACAAATACATAATCATTAGATAAAGGTAGGAGAATTTATCAAATTATCTAAATTAATTCCTCAAGAAATGTTTGGTTGGAGATCAATCAGGAGAATTTGTATGCCAGTATTGGGTTACCCATTATTGTTCCCATTGACCTACCCCAGATGGACAGGATGGAAGAGGTCTCTAGATGTGACAATGCATTTTATTTGTTTATATATATATTTTTGTTCATTCATACTATAATAATTCATAGTTCCTATTCATGTATTGCATTATTATCCAAACTAGCACTTAAAAATGAAAGGACAAACAAGGTAAGAGATCAACTTTCTTAATCTACTATACTTATTACGGAGATAGGGAGTTCAGAGTCAATTGCTTATTTGATCGCCTATCAGCTGTCAAATGAGAGAGTGACACGCAAGCTCTCGCTGGTTGACTGCTCTTAATTATAAAACTAACTTTAAAGAGATTTAATTTACCAGCAAGATTCTTATACTCCGGTTTGGCAAGTGATAATATCCGAAAGAGATCGTCACTTTTTAGTTGTTTCTTTGCAGGGTTTACGTTCTCCTCTTGCTTCTCCTCTTTTCCATTGTTAGTAAGACTTCCACTAGTGCTGGAACGTGAACGCACGGGAGAAGTTCTAGAAGGCAGATAAAGACCAAATATTCGCTGCCTTTGCCAACCGATAAATGTTCGATTCTTGGGAGCTACGTAATGAGAATTTCTTCTTAGGAAACACCATCTGTACGGACTATTTTGTGTCCCAATAAACCGGTTAATGCAAGGAACTGCCTGATCCGGTCCAACGAATTTGTTTACAGCGTGTCTTCGAAAGCAACCAATTGCACAACTATACATGATATTTCACTAGACGGAGGAATGGAAGTTGAGAACTCTGCAAGAAAATTGAACGTCTGCTAGCAACTCCCGAAAACGAAGAATATTCCATCACCACATGTCCTGGGTTGATAAATATCAGTATTTTGCCTATAAACGTAAACTTATAAACTTCGCGGAAAATATCAACTTGATCGTACATACCGTACTGATCGCTGGGTAAAGAACCCGCTGAATACAGTGTTTACAGTCACTGCTAGACTTACCTAGTTCCCAGATCTCCTCCTAATACGATCGTAGTACAAAAGAAAAAAACGGGCAAATTACGGCTAAAAAAAGAAAGAACTTAAGAAATGCAAAAAATGTAAGGGTCATGTAAAGAACTTACTCTTTCGTGGCAGAGGACTTCTGTTTGGAGCGTACATTCCTTTTATGAATTCATAATCAACTTTGACTTTTTGGCTTTGCCATTTGACGGGGGCTGGCTTGGTTATCAAGACTAAGAAATGTCAAGAGAGAATGAGCTATCATTTCTTGGAAATGTACAATACAACATTAACGACAAAAGTCGGGGCATGAGCTTTTTTTTTTCTAATTCAATACTATAAAGGAAATAAAGGGAGATGTAAAGAATCAACCATAAGAGGACACAGAAAAAATCTGAGCCCCAGATGCGATTCGAACCCACGACCCTCCGTGTTCTAGATCGCATACTCTAACCTCTGAGGTACTGAGGACTCGTTGGCGAGCAAGAGTCATTTTTGTGGGTTGGACTTGCGAACCCGTCTCGCAGTCACACAGTCCTTAAGGCTTAACTGTATCACAGTCACATTAATAGCAAGAAATGTCTCACCCATGAAGGACCCTTGCTCGCCAACGAGTCCTCAGTAGCTCAGAGGTTAGAGCATCCGATCTAGAACACGGAGGGTCGTGGGTTCGAATCCCATCTGGGGCTCAGATTTTTTCTGTGTCCTCTTATGGTTGATTCTTTACATCTCCCTTTATTTCCTTTATAATATTAATATCAGTGGCATAGGTTGGTTGGTTGGAGGTTTTTTAATTTAAATATATTTATTGATAATCACGGGGCATGAGCTTAACCAACCTTGCCTTATCAGCTGTTCCAGAGTAAATTATCTGTAGACAAAGAGGCGGTTTTTTTGACCGGGTTGGTAAAGCTTATTCTCAGCTTGAGATAGGACAATTAGCTAAAAGGAGACAGTGTGGAGAGTCTCAAAGCAGATTAACGGTATAAAGAGAAGAAAAGTTGTTAACAAAGTACATGCAATTGGCTTTCTGATTAAGAAATAAGTACATAATTACCTCTCACTGGCCGGCAATGTAAATTAATTCCCGAGTTTTGGGGGGCCATAAATTGAAGGGGAAAATCCTGAAAACGGGTATTAGGCTGAGAAAACGAACTCTATTAAGACTGACATTATTATATGGCCTTCTCTCTGTGAAACAAGAGATAGGCGCCAGAAAAAGGATATTGCAGGCCCCAAACGTTTTATGAAGTGTTTAGAGGAAGCTACAAAGGTTTACAAAAATAAAACTGGAATTAATAAAGCCGGGCCGTAGCTACCAGTACGCATAAACGCGCATGTGCAAGTTGCCTCTAAGTTACTAAAAACAAATTAAAAACAAACAAATGGGAACTTTAGGCCTTGGCAGAAGGGCTCTTGGTGATGGCTGTAATACAAGCACATTCGCTAAGCGAACAAGGAATGACTCAACCGCACAATAATTAATAAATAATAAATGGTATTAATTTCATAAAGGCGACATACTTTTTTCTACAATGTCAATACATTTTAGTTTTGTATTTCGAAATACGATCGATCAAACACACCGTAATCGATATAATTTTGTCAATAGCTGAGGCAACGTTTTAAATCAAATCCATTTCCTGGTTTTAGTAAAGCAAGCTAATCTATATAAGTAAAAAAGGGAAAGACGGAAACCGAAGGGGACTTAGTAAAGTTTTATACGGAAGGCTCTGCCCCGAGGTCCATCCCCTATTTTTTGTAAACCATTTTTGACAGAAAAAAGGTACTTCTTTCGTAAACCTTCTTTTGACAACTACAGTTAATAGTAGCCCCCTTTCACATCCCTCGTTGAAAAACGTTGCATTTCTTTTAGCTGCTGCAAATGCACTTTCTTTAAAATATGAATAAATCACAAAAACAGAACATTTTCTCTCCTTTTACACCGCCATAAAATGCATATGTTGGCACTTTTGAGCCTTTTTACAGACCGAAATGACAGATTTCTACCATTACTTATATTTCAACCAGTGAAATTCCTACCCTTTTATAAACCCGCCTGAAAAAGATACCCCTTCCGGTGGAGCCTTCCCGTATAGACCATTATAGGGAGTCCCTCCCCCACCCCCTGGAGAGGAATGTTGGAGTTCAAATCTTACCAGACCACCAACCAAGATTTTAAAAGTATCTCAATGATAATTCATGCTGACTGCAATTAACACCCTGCATCCCTACTTCAGTATGAGATGGCCTTCCTTGCGTACACACAGTGAAGTTGCATTGTCGGCATTCCGTAGCATGAGTTCGTAAAACAGTGAAGACAGACCTACTGTACTGATGATCGAAACAGGCCAGTGTTTTTTTTTTATCTAAGCTTAGGTCAAGTCACAAGACCCAGAATGACTGTCACAGGCGTCTAGCCAAGGGCCAAATAACCATAAATTTAATGTCTTGCGATTATTGCAGCACGTGCTATACCAGTGACTGAGTCCAACAAAGCTTGTGAATTGACTTATAAGAAAAACCTCCCATAATCCCTTTTTAGTCCCTAGGTTCGTACGTATGCCGATTAGCTTGAAATATCAGAGGCGCAAATTCGGTTATTAGTGCCTCGATATATTATGTACGACGAATTCATTTATAGTTCTGCGACAAGAGGCATTATCGCTCAAATCAGCTTCAGTGTCCGAATTTGAACCTATACTGGGCCAGAGAAAACTTGTAACTGTACTGAAGGGCAATGCAGAAATAGAAATGGAATTTTAAAAATTCTTGGGACTACCGAAAGATTTCATCCAATTATAATTATAACATAAGTTGGGCAAAACGTAATCCTGTCTGGCTAGTTTTTTTTTTGACAATAAAACTAAAACAAGCACTTAATGTTTCACTTTGTTTGGTTAAGTTCAATCATTCTATACATTGTAGCTTTATAACTAGGAGCGTTGCGACCTCCACCCGGAAACGAAAAAAGTGTGTAAGAGTTAGAGGCGTTCACCTTACTAAGCTTTGGTTAATACTACAATTAAAAATGATCTACAGAGAAAAGTCGTAAGCATTTTATTCCGTGACTACGTAACACAAGGCACGCAAAAGGGAAAAATACAAATATTAGTGGTAATAAATTAAATTATCTAAAAAAGCTTTAACTAAGTTCGTTCTGAAGGCCTGAATAACTTGGATAATCGGTTTGATCTTGTTAGGCTTAAAAAGACGACCTTTCACAAATTCGAGCGCAGAAAGTTCTAAGGAAGTAACATTATGTGGCCCTTTGAAACCAACCCTTTTGACGGCGGAAGCATTTCACTTTGCGTGGGCACATCATCTGAGGTTACCTATTGACTCTCTGATGTCGGGTGCGGTGCATGGTTTGTTTGTTTTTTGCGTAACCTTTGTATGCAATTGGTTCCCAGAAAACCCCAACCCTCCCTTTTCATATATGGATATCTTGACCACACAGAAGCCAAAATTCCTTCTGATGAAAAATATCATTGTAAATGAGAAGCTTGAAATTCATAAAAAGTGGGGTGGTATTGAGTTAGACCTTTGGAGAGGATCAAAAACTGGCCGAATGTAAATCATTCTTCCTTCGGACACAGCCGGAACTTTGGTAATTTCCATCGTCAACACCCTATGCTATAAACGTTTTGGTCTAGAGCCCTGCTGCCCAATTCCATTTTTGGGGGGATGGGTAGGGAAGGGGGGGGGGGGGGAAGGGAGTTGTAACACAAAATCTGGCCACGCTTTTGTCAGTCAAAGCAAAACGAAACGAAAAATTTCATCTCCCCAGAGATGGTTTAATTCTAGTGGTATGGAAAAGCCCAAGTTTTGTGAAACACCTTCACTCTCGACTTCGTAGAATTTAATCACATTTCACTACCGTATTACCTTTACTTTTAATTACTCTGTTAAATTTAACGTTTTTAATTAGCTATTCTTAATTTGGTTGCAAAAGGGAGTTGATGAGGGTTAAGTCATTTTTGTCAAAAACACCGAGTTTAAAAAATCATTAAATCCTTGACTGGAATTTGTCCTTTATTTTTGGGGACTGAGTGTTTTCGTCTAGATTTTAACAGCTTTTGTCATTGGCCTAATGTAGGAGAAGACCACTGATGTGTTGGTTTGATAAGAATAACTAGAACGATAGAAACCCTAAGCGACTGGTGCAAAGATCTTCAAAAAAGGTGGGTCCATAGAATAGTTACCCCAAACCTTAAGGCAACTCCTGGTACAAATTCATATGGAAATACACGCGTTTATTTTTGTAAATTCATTTTTTCGTTGAAATGGCTGGCCCTCTTTGAAAATAGGTCAAACCTAAATCGAAAAATATTTCCTTCGATATATATCTATTTTTTGATTAAAAAATGGAAAGTTTTTATGGTGCATGCAACAAAACAAAGCGTAACACAGCGACCAAAAGAAAAGCAAAAAGGTATTATAACCCACAGGTCAAACGAAATGATTGTGTTCTGCCTTTGAATTCCTCCACACTCTCGAACTTAACAAATTAGACGTTATTATTGTGCAGGTGACCAATTCGATAAAGATCGATAAAACAAGGGCCACCGATTAAGACCGGTATTTAAGGGCTGAGTGGAAGATCAAGAGCGCCCACGCTAGCCCTAAAGCCGAATGCCAAAGTAGTAAAACGTGGAATTTTGGATGCCCCTTTGTAACCTGGAATAGTTCGAGGGTATACAGGGATAGATATAGATATAGACATAGATATAGATATAGATAGGCCAAACAGGGAAAGGAATAGGCCACTCCTTTCAATACCTCCTCGGTAAGATAGATATGTCGATCACAATATCGCATTTCTGAACTGAAACGTCAAGAGTATAGTCGAGACAATTTTAATCTCCCACGCACCACCGCTGTTCTTTGTGTCTTCACAAACCGCTGAATTGTATGTCTGAAATTGTTAAAAATA